TTTTACCTTGCATTGAGGGGTTGGCATATTGAGTAATTTGCCAGGGAGCACTATCTGCAACTGCTTCTCTTTTTTTCCTATTGCTTGGCACTGACATAAAGTTACTTCTAGCTACGTTAATGAATTTCACAAAGGAACACAGAAAAATATGTCTTGAATGCATTGCCCATAATGATAGAGTCCCATCTTATGCTTTCCCTTGTATGCTGTTGCTAGGTCAGTCATTTTTACTTTCTGAAAGTTAATTTACATAGGACACCTAGTTCAGGTGTATGTATCTGTGTTCAAACCAAAAGCCTTAGAGTATGTTTAATTTAACAACGTCACAACCGTTCGGATACTTAGGGGAGTTCTAAGTAAAGTAAGTAAGTTCTAGAAAGGGGAGTTCCAGTACTCCCCTTTCTCTCTTTTCTGTTAGCTAAAGCCACTCCTCCTAAAACCACTAGCATGGATCCCCAAAATGTCCACCACAGAACGAAAAGGTAAAAGAAGGAGAAGTTGTTCCCGTTAAATCCTGCCATATCACATGCAAGAGAAATGGCTTATCAACCTGTCTCACCCCAGTAAACACAGCGCCTAATAAATTCAGTGCCTAAACTGGACCCCAGACATACGAGTCTTTGTCTGTAGAGTTACCTTCCCCCATTGTTTGTGTATATTAGAGCACTGACAGACTTCCATTGGTGTAACTTAAAATCCTAACAAAGTCCTGATAATCATCTCAGAGAAAGAGCGAGTGATATGAGTATCAGGTCTGACAGGAGGAAACTATGACTTAACGTAAGAGTTATAATCAGGATTTGTCTTTTGGTGAAAGAATTTGACCATCATCAATACTGTGTAAGTTCCAGTTGAGCATAGGTGGGCTAGATAAAATTCTGCTCTGTCTTTTACTGGTGATCTGTTCATCTGTATGTAATGATAGAAACTGGGGCCAGGGCAGATACCAGGTCTTGAAGTAGGCTTCCATCCTGTGACTTTGTACAGATACTTCCTAAATCCAACTTGAACTTTCATAATAGGCTCTTTCATAAATATGTAGCCCCATTTTATATTCTCTATTTACATGAGTCCCATAAATAATTCTCCAGAATTATCCGAGACCCACTGATTGGCACTTCCTAGTCTTTCACTCCAAATATCATGACTTCAGTCTACGGCCATACCACCCTGAACGCACCCGATCTCGTCCAAATGTCATGACTTCCTTTGATAACCTTAAAGCCACAAACACAGCCTGTTGTCCTCACTAGTATATTCAACTTTAACTGTGGTGGAAAATTTGGTCTGTTGAGTTTTCTTCTGCTTATTCATGTAGCCAGGCCACAGTGCGGGAACCTAGCAAAGTAATCCCAACGCTTGTATAGCATTGTTTGCCTCTGCAAGCAAACCAGAAAGACTCCACTCCACCAAATTTATTTTGGACATGCAGATGAAGCTGCAGTTTCCCACGCAAATCAGCAAAACAGGTGGTCGTGAAATTGTGATTAACAACAACTGCAGTGTGTACTCTCCTTCTCTTTTCTCTATCCTTTCTGGGGAGACACAGGCAGAATAAAAATACAGTAAAATCTAATTATAATTCAGATTCCACTCGTACAAAATTGTTGCAGTTCAGGCCAGAGCCAGGTATGATGTTTTAAAAGTGCCAATCTTTCTCTTTTCAGTAATCTTTTGTAAAGAAGGAAATGTTTTCAGCTAACCTCAAACATTTTATACGTGCCTTGCCCTACCATATTATATACTTATGAGTAAGGTTTAGTATGTATACATTTAAAATGAATCTCCTGAGGTCCTTAATTAGATTCCGCGTTGACGTGGTGCTAATTACCTGATAGTAATTGAAATTACTTAGTTGGTATTTCAATGAGAAACATCCAGACCTCAACTCTCAGTAACCGGGTCGGTCTTCCAGTTTTGAATTAATACGGCCTGAACTAAAATTAATTCCTTTGGAAAAACCCCGGGGGTGGCCAGAACAGTCTAGCACCATAGCTGCCTGGGAGAGACAGCTGGTTGGCCACCTGCAATGTCTGTGACCTCTTAGGCAAGTGATCCTAACGCCTCTGTGCTCTCAATTCCCTCGTCGTAAAATTCTGTTTAACGCCCACTCCATAAGAGTTAGCACTCTTAACTGCGTTAACCTTTGGAGTGTGTGGCACATACTAACACACTATACACATTCTTTTTTCAAATGAACAACTAAATTCATTAGTTTGCCTTAATTTCCTTTGCCCTGTATGAAATAAGTCAACAGTCCTTACCTTGGTGCGACTGCTTAGGCCTCTGGCCAGTAGTGGTCAACGATTATGGTTTTTAGTGAGGGCCCTTTCCACGTGAAGTATTAAATTTCCACGTGTTGTAGAAATGAACACATTAAAAATATGTAAAGGGGTGGGGACCGGGAGCCGGGTGGCCACACCGGTAAATCCAAGCACATTGGCGAGGCCAAACAGGTGGGCCGATCAACCTGGAGGCCAGGAGTTTTGAGACCAGCCGGCCAACTGGTTGAAACCCCATCTCTACTCAAAAAATACAAAAATTCAGCCGGGCGTGTGGCCGGGCGCCCTGCATCCCCAGCCACGTTGGGAGGTTGAGACAGGAGAATCGCTTGAACCCCGGAGGCAGAGGTGCAATGAGCCGAAATCTGCCATGTCACTCAGCCCGGGCAACAAACACAAAACTCCGCCTCAAAAAATAAAAATAAATAAATAATAAAAAGTGCATGGGGCAGCCAAAAGCCAAGTTTGTGCTGTGGGAAGGTTATCGGAGGTACCCACCATCTCAGTAATACGGCCAAGTCTCCAAACACGCGGCCTCAAGAGCTCCAGGTCTCAGAGCGGAGAGACGGTCCCTGAAACCCATGCAGATCAGGAGAACTTACAGTGGTTTGGATCCTACTGTCAGGAATTGACCCAAGCTGACCCACCCATCCTGGGTACGGAGTTCCTTGGCAGGATCCCCAAAGGCCTGCAGTCCATGTGATGCCACCATCCATTGAACCTACAATTGAGTCCTACTCGACAGGCTGCTGTCAATCAGCACCAAGGGGTTCTAAAACTTAGGTCCATGTGGCCTCCTCTTGTCGTGCTGCTCCTATGGCATGTGGATGGGCCCAGCTCTTCCAGTCCACTGCAGTTATGGTGGACTCCTGAACCCGGTTGCCCTGGATCCTCCCGCCACCTGCCATATACGGCCACAGCATGGTGGAAGTCTCCAGCCTCCGAAGTCATAAGATGACCTACTGTTAGGGTCATGTGGAAGTTACCGGTCATGTACACGCTCCCACCCAACCCTCCCCATGGCCACAGTGTCAGCCCCTCAATTCCCTCGTCCCACGTGAGATTGTGAGCTGCCGGAAACTCCTGCAGATGCGTCGTGGGCAGCCAGTGGCCCTCCTATCTCTTGGTGGCAAGGCAAAAGCTTGTGGTTCCGTGAGCCACGCAGCTAACCAATGGCTGGATGTACATGGTGACTCCTATGCTCGCGTGAGAATTCCGCACCCTCCCCATTCACGGTGAAGAGCTTGAGTGGCTCCCAAATCCCGTCAGAGAGGTGCTCCGCCTCCACGCCTGACTCAGGCGGAAATTATGGACTGCAGCCAGATCTCCGAGCCTTCCCGCAACTCCATATCCTGCCAACGCTGGAGGGGAAGTCCTGGTACCGAAGTGGAACCCGAGCGGACTGAGAAGTGTTACTGGAGAATGGGGCTTAAGGTGCTGAGCCAACCCCAAAGAGCAGAAGCTCTGAAGGGTGGTGGGTGGTGAGGGGGGTGGAGGGGTGGGATGTGGGGGTGGGGGTGGCGGGAGGTGGGGCGCGGAAGGGTTCGGGGGGTTATGGGAGTTTGGTGAAGGTACGGAGGACTTTCCCTAATGTGGCCAAACATTGTGAACAACCTGGCAGAGAAACCTGTGTGTGTGTGTGCACGCGCGCGTGCGTACGCGTATGCACCCATGCATCTATGTCTGCCATTCGCCTTGATCCTGGACTCACAGGAGCTGTTGTTGGTAGAGAGTGAAGTGAAGGAGGAGAAAGCACTGGGGCAGAATATGGGGTTGGCGGGATAGGGGTAGGGTTGGTAGTGGGGCGGCGGGAATTCATGAACTTGTAAGTCGTTTCTCCCGGGCAGGGTTGTGGAAGCCTCATGGGATCCCCCCTCTTCCCGCCCCCACACGAAAAACCCTACCCTTGCCAGTCACCCTGCCTGATTCACCGTCCGTGCCAGGTGATTCTGTCCTCTGCCCTCCTCAGATCATATTGTTATTAAGGACACTCGAGACGTCCTAGATCCCAGTTTGTATAGACGATTCCAGATCCAATCTTAGTTTCTGTCTCTTTTTCCGTGATGTAAAGATTCTCTTTGTTTCCATGATTTATTTTTCTACTAAATTTTCTAAACATGGGCTCAGGGGGGTGGGCGAAAGGGAGAGAGGGGAATCGGGAATTTTTTTTAAAGAGAATTTGATATTTCAATAAAAGTGTCCAAGTCGTCATGATGTGAAGATTCGGAATTTACTTGTTATACTTTGTTTGAACTTCACTGGCTTTAAAAAGTACATTTGGGAGTGGGGTGACAATTTTTTGTGTGTGTATGTGCTTAGGATGTCTCAGTGGCTTATAGTAGTATAGCTTGACACTCTTTTGTTTCTGATTCTTCCCCCATCAACCCCTGGTTTTCTAATGATGGCTTCTTAGGTTCCTTCCTGAAAACTCTCTCCTTTTCTTCCTGTGGAAAAGTATAGTGAACGGATTTAAGTTACAATCATGGGTGATAACATTTGGTATGTCATGAAAGCGGTATTGGGTGAATGAAGTTGAGCAAATAGCAAGATTGTGCTTAATCTTACGGGGTTTTAAATATTGCTTGGCAGATGGTCAGAGAATGTTGTCACTTGTGATATTTGATATTACATGTAGCTTGAATAATCTATTTTTCTCTCATTTCAGCATTTCCAAGTTTGTTCTGTGAGACTCTAGGGTCAGGACAAAGCAACAACAACATGTGCTCTACTCTAAGGAAGTGTGGGACATACAGAACTGAAGGTAAACGAATACTGTAGGAGTTTTTTAGATGATATACTAATATACAACACGAGTCTCAAAGGGAGGGCTACTTTCCCCAACTTGTATGGGAATGGAACATTTTTTTCCACAGAGCATTTGAGGTGCCAGTGTTCTTCAGGAAATATTTGGGGAAACCCGGTTCAGACTACATCTTCTAACACTGTAAAACCTTGTGCCTTTGTTTACTCAGCACAATGGAATGTGGGTTTATAATAGTTGTAATCTATTCTGCTCATTAAGAAACTGATTATTGCTCTTTAATTCATTTTATCTTATGTCATCAGTCAGTCTCTGCTGCTTGAATCTTCCTACTTGTTTACTCTTCAGAGATGCCGCAGCCAAGCATGCGCGTCTGATACCATGGTGGTGGCAAACAACATGTGGCCTAAATGCAAGTCGTTAGGAAATGTTACCTGTGGCAGCAATAAAGTGCCCCACTCTTGAAAACAAGATACAACTTACCTGTCAGGACAAGCAGATGCAGTACCTATTGTTACTTAATAATTACAACTGCCATAGTTTGAGCCCCTGTCATATGTCAAGCACTGTGATAACCTCAGCCGTCATGCAAGTTGCTGCATTTAACCCTCAGGAAAATCTTAGAGGGTGTTATTTTAATTGCACAGATGAGATATATGGGTCGGAGAGGCTGAGTGTAACGCCGTGCTTATTGGCCACCCCAGACCTCAGTGGCTTATTTCTCACTCCTGGCTGCATGTTTATGGCAGGTGCAGATCCTTCGGGGATGGTGGATGTAGGGTTCGAGCGATTCTTATTGGAATGACTCGAGCCCAAACTAATGGAGCAGCCACGCATGCTAGAAAAGGGTTACTCACTGCGTCATAGTGTGGGAGAGAGCGCTAGAGGGTCTCAAGCCAGCAACAAGGTTCTGACCCAGAAATAAACCCATGTCACTCATCACTCACAACCCATTGGCCAGAGGCTATC